CACCCAGGAGCTAGAGAGCTGGAACTGAGAATGCAGGTTCCGGATTAGGATCCCTTACCTTGGGGGAATGTCATCCTATTTATACTTGAGGTTGCCTGATGGCGGACAACGTGGATGATCAAGATGCGATCTTAGCCCTAGGCGGGAGGACATCCGAGAACCGCCGTGTGTGGTCGCGCCATTGGTCCCGTGTTGGACGTTGACCCCTGCCCTATACGATGGGCTGACTGGYTCCAAGCTCGGCCACGTGTCAATGCACCGAAGGCCTACCTAAAGCGCCTACATCAGAAATGAATACAAAAAAATAGAGATGAAGTAAAATTGCTTACAAGCATTAATAGCAAAGTTTAGCGTATTCACCATTACGAGCTGGGGGCAGATTAGGTGCCGAGTTAACTTGGTCGACCTGAGCAGGTTAGGTGCCGAACTGACTGGGCCGAGCTAGGCAGGTTAGGTGACGAGCTGACCAGAGTGTTGAGCTGCCTATTAGGTACCGAGCTGACCAGAGGGCCGAGCAGCCTGGTGGCAAGCTGGATTGATTGTTGAGCTTCGTAGTTCTTTAGAGACGTACAAGGAATCAATATTTGAGGTCCCGGGGTGGCTAACCCGGCGAGGTTGCTCCGATGCTTAAGTCAGTACTCTCATAGTAGACTACGAACTAAAAAWCACAAAGTATGAGAGCTAGAATATGCTTACTTGCCCCCCTATGCCATTGGGGTTGGTGCCTTTGTATAGGCATTGTTTGGCATGGGCTTCACGCACCGCATCCGAGATTTCCGAGAAATCGTCTAAGTGGTCTGAGATTCCCTGAGGCAACCGCCATGTACGTTGACCACCCTCCAGATCGTTCGACACATGAGCCAACTTCCAAGGATCGTGGGAGTGTTAGGATATGCATGCCGAATTTGTCGGCGTGGGCTTCACGCACCGCATCCGAGATTTCCGAGAAGTCGTCTAAGTGGTCCAAGATTCCCTAAGGCAACCGCCATGCACATTGACCACCCTCCAGATCGTTCGACACGTGGGCCAACTTACAAGGATCGTGGGAGTGTTAGGATATGCATGCCGAATTTGTCGGTGAGCACGTCTCGTAGGTCGCCAGGTCAGCGCCTGTGTCAAGCCTCCAGGTCGGCGCCTGTGTCAGGCCGCCAGTTCGGCTCCTGGGCTAGGCCGCCAGGTCGGCGCCTATGCCAGGCCACCAGGTCGTGCCTGGGCCAGGCCGCCAGGTGGGACACCATCAACTTGGCTAAGGCAAGTTGTTGCCTAAATGGTTCCG